CAGAGTTGACTTTCTAGTTTTGTTGGTAATGTATGAACATTTGAAATGTTGCGGAGATTCCCTATTTAACTGATCGATATCTTATTGAACAAAATGGGGTTTGCCATTGTTTTTCATTTTTATGCTGGAGCGGTGGGTTAGCCTAGTGGTTAAAGCGTTTGCTCATCAGGCCGAAGACCCGGGTTCGATTCCCCACATGGGTACAATGTGTGAAGCCCATTTCTGGTGTCCCCCTATCGTGATATTGCTGGAATATTGCTAAAGTGGCATAAAACTAGACTCACTCACTCAAACTTGTTTATGCTGTATATTACAAAACAGTTGAATACTAATATTAATCCTATGCAATCTGCTTTTGAAATCCAGACACACATAGATTTTGTGCCTTTTTGAGGTATGCTGCAAATATTGTTCTGATACATTTGAGCCTGTGTGATATTTAAGTGTTCATCATTACTAGACTGTTAATAGCTCTTGAAACATATTTATTGTAATTCTGTTATTTGCTTGTTTAAGGTACATCTGAATTTCACTGAATTATTTTGATGTTGAGAGGAATGCAACAGTAAACATGCGGGCCATGTTAACTCGGTCACAAGAAATGACCCCTGAAACATCACATTAATAAATGTGTATATAACACCTTGTTTTCCTGGTTTGTTGTAGTAGCTGAGGTCATACTGAAGATGTAGCTTCCCACAAGCACTACATCTTTATTGATCTTCTTTTGTTTGAAGCACTTCTATTTGTTTTGTGTTGATAATGTGATGTTCAGTGATCTTCCAGTAGGAATATTTTGTTTCCCTTCACTTGTCAACCTTACTTCTTCCAGGGTAATTGAAACCCATGAAAATCCGGGTTAGAATTAATCTTCAGTAACCCATGATTGTCATAAGAGGCAACTAAAGGGATCAGGTCGTCAGACTCGCTGACTTGGTTGACACATGTCATTGGTTCCCAATTACGCAGGTCGATGCTCATGCTGTTGATCACTGGATTGTCTGGTCCAAACTCGATTATTTACAGACCGCCACCATATAGCTGGAATATTGCTGAGTGTGGCGTAAAACCAAACTCACTCATTCTTTTGCTGAAAGCACTTCTATTTGTTTATTACAGGTTTTTATGTTGGTAATGTGATGTTCAGTGATCTTCCAGTGAGAATATTTTGTTTTCCTTCACTTGTCAACTCTACTGCTCCCACACATGCACATGGTTACATATGAAACTAAAACACGAAATTGTTCCAGTGCATGATTTAATGATACTAAGTACAAAAAGTAGGGGATACTTTGTTTTGAGGTGAAACAACAGGAACATACGCCAATGTCTGGCAAATATGTTATGTTCTGTATGTGGCATGAACATGTTTGGAGAATATATGTTCACAACCATAACAATGTTACAGTCATGATGCCTTCGACTTCATGTAGCATGTGCAAAGGGTGGTATGCCAGATTTACCATTGTCTCTCACACTTGCTTGTGAGCATAGGTATATTTTACTTCTGGAACCCAAAATTAAAATCCAAAAATTACTTCACACTTATTAAACAGATTTGATCAATGCACCAAGTGAGTTATGATTTAACCTCACTCTTCATTAAAGACATTGGATCAATGCTCTAAGTGAGTTGGGATTTAAAGGTCACATGCAACCAAAAAATCAAACATAATTAAAACACAATCATCACTTTTTCATGACATATAATATACATTGCTGGTTATGAAAAAACATAAAAACAATATTATAAGCGTACATAACACAAATCAAAAGTGCAATATTTTGTACTTGGGTTTAACTTCCCAAGAAACGAAGCAGCCGGGATACCGAACCCAGTCTGAGCGGGTGGCTGTCAGAGCTGGTTCATTTGCAGACGCCCTCACGGCTCATTGTGTGTGTATATATAGAGATGTTGGGTTTTGTAAATACATGCTCATTTTTGAGTATAACATTTTGCAATCAACAGACATTATAACATGTCATGTGTACAAGCATCACATCTGCCTGTCTGTGTAATTACATAATGTGACAGAGACCGAACTCGGGCCATAAATCAATGCGTTTTGTTTATGGTGTATAGCCTGATTGGTGTTAAATTCAAATTGCATGTGGTCAGTGATTGAAATTGTGCATTGAATATTGTCATTAGCGGACGGGCAGGCAGACACATAGGTGCCAATAAAACAGACAAGCGCTGGGGGAAAGTTAGTTAATCGTTTGAAGTCCGATTTCGCGCGGTTTTTTTCATCGCGTTATTTTTCAACTTTATAAGTTGAATTTGCATTTTTGATGATTTGTTTCGGTAAGTCCATACTTAATATGCGCTCTGATATTTTCACAACTTTTTGACCTAATAAATAGCAGCTAAATTCCCCTCATATGCATAGTGTGATATTAATTCTACGTTGAAATAAGATTTTGCTGTGTGAACACTCGAGTCGGCAAACTGATACCACTCCTAAGATAATTGAATAATAGTCACAGTCCACTAAGGTGAACCTGAAGGTCACACACACCTGGGCCGGAAAGGGGACTCCCGAAGGAGGGTGGGGCTTAAGGGTTAAACAGTCGATTAGGTCAGACAAAGGTCACACCTATGTGACATCATAAAATCAAAATGGCCCACCAACAAGGTCTTTCCCCCTTCCCCTACAACAGCTATGAAATAGTGATGATACCAGGTGTTCGCGAAAAGGTCACCCACCTGGCACCCTTCATAACCATAATGGAAGTAGTCCACTTTTATTCCAGGATGAATATCTTGCTCAAAGCGCATATCATTATTAAACATGTGCTAATTATAGTCAATTGTTCACTTCAAATAATTCGGAACTTATGTATAAGTCAAAATAGGGAACTGCGTCGGACATAATTTGTGTCACTGATGCATGAACTTTGGAAATTTCCTCCACGTCTACCACAAAACTCATTGAGAGCATTACTGAATGCCTTGAATGTTGCAACCTTGATCAAACAACTGCTGAGCAAGAGTGCTATGACGCTCTTTGAAATCCTGATAAAAAGAATCTCAAAAGATGTGAAATGTAAACACCAAAGGCTGTAGCTGTTGGAATATTGCTCGACATGAAAAGGAAGTTTACTATTAGAAGGTTGAAATCATCCCTTTTGTCATACAGCCTTATTGAGAATTTTGTGTCACTCTATGCATAGATCTAAATATGAATGAGCTGAAGCGGTCTCACACTCACAGTCCCAGATTTACAAATAGACAAACAGTAATGTACAAATCAACATAACTCAAGTAACTGATTACAAGATGACAGTTCACATGGTTAAACATCTTTCAGTTTTACTACATGATAATACACAGCACATACAAATCCTGCCAATCAGCTAAGAAATAAATATAATACATATAAATCCTTATTTTCAGATGTATTCAAAGGATAGTGGCGCAGTTGCTTGTGCCACTGGCATTGGATCAAGAACAATATTTTCTAGATTACCAGATAACAGCTTAATTTTCACAACCAAAGCAAAACGCCATACTATCAGCTCTTAAATATATTAATAAATACCTTAAATATAAACAATGTATAATCTTTTCAAACTATATTTCGTGCCTTCATGCTATTACGAAAATATCTAGTAAACATCCACTTTTAATTAAAGGTCACATGCAACCAAAAATCAAACATAATTAAAACACAATTATCACTTATTCATGACATATAATATACATTGCTGGTTATGAAAAAACATATAAACAAAATTATAAGCGTACAATCGCAAATCAAAAGTGCAATATTGTGTACTTGGGTTTACTTCCCAAGAAACGAAGCAGCCGGGATACCGAACCCAGTCAGAGCGGGTGGGTGTGGACCCAAGTGTAACGGCTGGTTCATTTGCAGATGGATCCGGGGTAGAATAGGTCTTCAGCAACCCATGTGCTTGCCATAAAAAGGCGACTATCTTTTCGTAAGAGGCGACTAACGGGATCTTGTGGTCAGTTTCGCTGACTTGGTTGACACATGTCATCGGTTCCCAATTGCGCAGATCGATGCTCATGCTGTTGATCACTGGATTGTCTGGTCCAGACTCGATTATTTACAGACCGCCGCCATATAGCTGGAATATTGCTGAGTGCGGCGTAAAACTAAACTCACTCACTCATTTGCAGATGCCCTCACGGCTCATTGTTTGTATATATAGAGATGTTGGGTTTTGTAAATACATGCTCATTTTGTGTATAACATTTTACAATCAACAGACATCATAACATGTCATGTGTTCAAGTATCACACCTGCCTGTCTGTGTAATTACATAATGTGACAGAGACCGAACTCGGGCCATAAATCAATGCATTTTGTTTATGGTGTATAGCCTGATTGGTGTTAAGTTCAAATTGCATGTGGTCAGTGATAGCAGTTGTGTATTGAATATTGTCATTAGCAGACAGGCAGGCAGACACACAGGTGTCAATAAAACAAGACATTGAGTTTTGTCTGTGACAGCGACATATCCATATCACAGTTAGAAATTCTGTCAACGCTAAATAATGACATTGCTTTCAAGTACCGAACTGAGAAAGTGACTCGGTAAGAAAAACGTGTGGTGAAATAGACAAATGAAATTATATAAACAGTTAATTTACTGTCATAACATATAAAAAGCTCGCGCCTGTGAGATATCAACAAAACATTAGAAAAATAGCTCACACCAAAGCCTTCACCGAGTAATCACCGGACAACCCGCTTCCAAGCTGCGCGACCCTATTTAACTGCGCACGTGCTATGAGCGCAGCCCAGCTGTTGAAACCAGTTTTCCCCCCGAAAAGTCGGGGGAAAATTAATGAAACGTTTGAACTCCGATTTCGCGCGGGTTTTTTCATCGCATTATTTTTCAACTTTATAAGCTGAAATGCATTTTTGACGATTTATTTCGGTAAGTCCATACCGAAAGGTATCAGAATCTGCAAAGTTGTGTTTTACGTTGCATGTGCCCTTTAAAAAAATGGAGTCATAAATTTATCTTGCTACTGGCCAATACGACAATACGTCTTCTGTTGGTTACCCAGCCATGTTTGAATTTCTGGGAACACAATGGCCGATTTTTATGCCAAGGCAGTACTCAACAAATCTCTGACACCAATTCTCATTCGATACTCTGATTCCAAAGCTATCATTAGATCGTACATCCGTGATCTGATGCAGATGAAGTGGGACACTCAGGTATGTATCAATTAACTACACGAAATTAAATCAACTATTGGTTATGCCTACTTAGATTGTCATTATGCGACGATGTCGTATTAGCCATTCAAGATATACACACGAATATTTGCTTATAAGATGAGGGTCCTCCATTTTGTATCCCTGGTGATAAAGAATCACGGCCGAGCATGTCCGACTTGACTGCATTGATTTTTCCATCACAAGGGATCAATATCTCAAAGCTTTATCCATGAAGGGCCTTATTAAAAAGTCAATTTTCGTTTAATTATTGCGTTTATAAAAGAAATCGAAATGAATGAACATTTTTATTGACTTGTTTTGTAAATAGACATGTGTTATTTTGTAATTGATAGATTAGACTAGCAACCACGATTGTGGGTGGATGATTCCTCAAAGGGGCTTAAAGTATTGTAAAATTATCGTCCTTCTGAGAGGGTACTAAGACCCAAAACTTTCAAAGTAACATTTGATCTACCAACCATTTTAATTGTAGTATTATTGTCATTTTAAAATGGGGTACTCGGGCTGCTGTCAATCGCTGTTCAGTGTGCTTCGCCGGGTGGCCCTCGAGGACCAAACTTTTTATGACTGCTGTGTACTCAAGCTTTTCCATTTCTGCCGTTCCAATAGGGGTACATATGATTAGATGTCACGTGTCCGGAAACAAGCGACATGTGCATGTCAACATTACGTTTATGTGAATGATATAAATCATTCTTCAATATCATAGAGTTATTTCTATCATGCACATGTCAGAAGTATTTTAGGCTCAAAACATTTTGATAGCCCTCGTACACTATACCTTCAGCTGTTGGCGATGTATAGCCTGTTTTGCATATTGTGTATTGTCCAGATAGTGCTATTAGTTTTAACTTTACATGCGAGTTTTAATTCTAGCTGTGATACTCTAGTTGTTTTACTGTATTTGACGACAGGTTTTATAGTATACACGTATTCCTTATCAACGTCAAAGTTGCTCTCGTCACGATATGGCTGAAATACTGAAGATGACGTTAAGTATTCACTCACTCACTCACTCAGTCACTTGCAATTGCAAAGCCCATACAGTTAAGCCAACTATGCTTGACGACGAGCCTTCCATCACAAGGGATACACACGGGAGGTTCTACCTTATCTGTTTTAAGCAGATATTCGTGGGTAAACCGACAATGGCCATTACGACATCGTCTTGACTGACAACCCAAATATGTATAACCGATTGTTTGGATCCGTCTGTAAGAGGGATCTATTGGTGTTATATTTTTAGCGAAATTGATTGTATTCCTGTTGAAACATCAAATCTTTTCTTTCGGACTTGTTCGGTTTAGTGAAGGTCTTCCTCTGGTTTCACCATCTGTCAGTCGGTAAGGTGATATGATATAAACAGGTACCGAATAATATTTACATTTTAAGAGCTTGGGTACTCAAGGTAACACGTAAAAACATTACAAATGACGTCCTCCGTAGGCAACATATACATCCTGACATTATCAGTTACAGTTCTAGGTGGCACAGGCGAACAGTATACTACGAATTAGACATGCAGAGTTCCTTAGTCTTTTTCCGTAGTTGTCCCAAGCTCCCCGAACCACAGGTTTGAATAACAGATATCCAGTTTCAATTCAAACGCCTCAGTGTTGTTTGTCATACAGGTTTTTCAACAAGTTACAAACTGGACAAGTAGAATTGAAGGACATGGAAAACAAATGTTTTGAACAAGATGAAATAATATACAGAGGTACATTGTGTTGCTTGTTGTACTGTTACTCTTAACATAAGTGTTCAAATCCACAGAACAGAAACTCAAGTTAAAATGAATATGAAAGGTGAGGTGTGGAATGTGTATTGACTTCAATACCAATGTTCAGGGACACCAAGGACGCCAGATACGCCAGAACATTAACGGTTATGCATTATTTGCGTGTGAATGAGTGTACATACCGCCAAGGTGTCTTTCAAAATGACCATGAAGTGCTGGTATGTTTTTCGTATCATAGATGTTTGCATCGGCTCCACTGTTAATCAGAGCATTTACGAGCTCTGCCCTCAATGTGTAATATCGTTCCTTGTACTCAGCATGGTCACCCAAAAAGAAAGCAAGCTCTGGTGGATCGCATGCTATATGGAGAGGAGTGCGTCCTGAATTGTCCTGTATGTTTATGTTGGCATCGTGTTGAAGAAGATGCATAACCTTATGCAGCTGAGCATTGTGAAGCACCCTGAGGAATTTTTGTGAATCTGGTATATCTGCGAAATGGTAGCCACTGTTACAGGCATAATGCAGAGGAGTCTGTCCATATTTGTCTTGGGTATTTACACAGGTCCCTGTTTGAATCAAGATGAGGGTAATATCTTGTTTTCTCTCTGGAACAATTGGGGTGTGAACAGGATAACATGCTTCATGCAAGGGAGTCGTATTGCTGATGTCACATTGTAGAGTTGCTTTTCTTGATACAAATAATCTGGCTAAACCAACGTGCCCGCTTTCACAAGCAAGATACAATGGTGTTCTGCCATGACGGTTTCTTGCATTGACATCCATATCGTGATTCAGAAGGATTTCTGCGACATCTGTATGGCCACCATGTACATGCCATGCAACCCTATGAAGGAGGGTGTTTAGGTCTGTATCTAAAACCTTTATATTTGCATTTCTGTCCATGAGGAACTCAAGAAGGCTTAGCCGCCGTGCTTCACAAGCAATGACCAAAGGCGTTTTGTACCTGTCTGTTTCTTCTATGTCCACTCCTGCATCAATAAGTATGCGCACAACATCGACATGGCCATTATAGCAAGCCAAATGAAAAGGTGATGTGTTATAATTCCTGTGATGAATGTCGACATCAAACTCTATAAAGATCTGAACAATCTCCTCGTTTCCTTCTTCACAAGCAACATGAAATGCTGTTTTCTTGCCTTTGTTCAAGATATTCATATGTGCACCTCTTTGCAGCAGGATGCGCACAATATCCTTGTAGCCAGAGTTTGAGGCAAGGTGGAGAGCGGTATATCCATGCACATCCTGTTTATTTAGGTCTGCTTTTTTGTTCAGGAGGACTTCAACTATATCAAAGCTTCCACTGTGACAAGCGCTCATCAATGGGCTTGCCTTATTGTTGTCTTCTGAATGAGGATAAGCCCCTGCTTCAAGAAGGTATTTTACCGTCTCACTGTTACCTGCCTTAGCAGCTTCATGCATTGGCGTGGCACCAATGTTATTTTTCAGGTTAATTTCAGCGTTACCTTCTATAAGCAGCTGTACACAGGCCTGACTTCGATCTGACTGATGCTTGGCTGCTTCATGCAGTGCTGTATTATCATGATGTCCACCAGCTTTGTTGATGTCCTGGATCTTTGGGATCATCATCTGTACGCCATCCAAATGTCCTGTTGCGCAAAGATAATGAAGAGGTGTCAAATTCCATCGATTGGCAGCATTAGGATTTGCACCATGCTTCATCAGGAGATCCAAAATGATGAAGTTTCCTTTAACTGAGGAAACAATTAAAGGTGTATCTCCTTCTGCAGCCACAATGTTGACATTAACATTTGGAAAGGCAGTAAAAATGAATGAAACACAACTCGTTGCATTGTTCTGGCATGCCCCAAATAATAAATTCTCAACCGCAAATTTGGGGAGAGGAAATGCTTTATGGATGAGGCTCAGCAGATGCTTGGATGTACTACTGGTGCAGAGGAACAAGAAGGATCTTTTGTCAATCAGTGTTTCAGAGCCCCCGCCCAAATGTGCTTTTTGAAGAGACGTTGGTGGAGGATTCTCTTCAAGGTGTGATGGCAGGTTCTTTCCATGGTGGGAGAATAACAGTTCTTCCCAGTTGTAACGGTCTTTTATGAACTGAAAAATGCCTTTAACAAAGTCAGCATCATTGAATATATCATGCCTAAGTGTTTTCCTCAAGTTTCCTCTCATCAGTTCCTTTGCAACTCGTTGTGTGATGTCTTTAATGTATTCTCTTCCAATCTGTACTATGGATTGCTTGGTATCGACGACATGTTTAGCACAAGAAGGCTTTAATCTCACATGATGAATCCAAAATGTCATGCTACAACGTTCTATGACAAAGAGGGGATCCCTTGTCCCTATAGCCAAGGAAACAGTTTCAAATATCGAGGGATGCTTAAAGACAACACTCTCATATTGCTCTTCAATGAAACTTCCTTTCAGGTTATTCATTGCCCCCTTCCTCTCTTCATCTGTCAAAAGTGGCCTTCTTTGACGAATTGTGCTAAGGTCCAGCTCTCCATCCATTTGAATGATCTCCTTAAATAACTTCTTATATGAATCGTTTTCAGCAATGAGTTCTTTTGTAGTTCCCATCAAGACCCCAATTGGATGTTTGAAAAACTGTGTCGGGTCGCACGACATTTGATTTATATTGAAAAACATTGAGCAGCAGTTTGGAAATCCATGCAAGGATGATAACTTACATACTGTGTCCCTTGTATCCTCATCAATCAGTTGTTGTGTGTTGTAAACATCAAAGATCTGTACCTTTTCATCAAAGGAAAGTTTGTGCTTTGTGGAATTTAGATCAAAAAGACACTCTTCAGCAATCACTCGTGCCTCAAATTTATGCAAGTAATCTTTTCCTTCTTGAAGTACATTGAATCTGCTAACAAGAAGAAGCCTGATGTGCCGTACGTTTGGATTGTGCCTTTTTGGTGACTTATCAAACATGACATCTTCCAAAACAGGTCTCCATTTTTCAAAACTGTCCTTCTGAAAAACACACATCCCGAAAACATCATTTATCATGATGTAGGTATCTTTGGGACTTTTAACAGAGGTGATGGTGTAATATTCCTTGACAGATTTTATTGCAAAGACGTCAAAATTGTGTTGAAGTCCTCTCAGTGTCATGTAGGCCAAAGTTGTCTTACCATCACCAGGGGCTCCAGTAATAGTCACACATTTCTGGTTTCTTTGGCATTTTCGGAGAACTTTAGTCAGAGACCGCGTCTTCACGCAATGATGTGTTTTGTTGGTTATTTCATATAACGTGCGGGCTGAAACATAATTTTAAACTAGTTTTTAAAGTTGTTGAGTGCAAAAAGCGTTCCACTAATATCGTTTTTCAAGTATCTTTTAAATTTATAGAAATTGACAAATGAACTGTTTTTACATAACGAATGTGAATAAGCGAATAGGATATTTACAAGTAGATTTCATTCCTGTACGGATTGGCTTGAGAAATGGTAATAAAACCATTATTTTGACGGGATCTGTTGGTTGACATGAATAAGACAGTATTGACCTGCTTGTCTGTTTCCCGTAAACACGATTCTCCACATTTCTTGATAGATTCGTTGGTCTTACCTTGAAGTGATTCTTTATCCCTGTCGTTGCTGGGGGTTCTTATACACACGATTTCATTTACTGAAAATAGGAATAGAGAACAATATAGCCTGTCTTATGTACGCTGGTTATGACATTTATCAAATTTGGACAATACACGTAGGCAAAACAAGTTGAATGAATGAAGAATGAAGTATTGTATAGTTTTACCTTAATGGCTTACAATGTAAAAGCCATCTCTACATAATATAAGTTAAAATGTGTCCATTGCAAATAAGTATATTCAAACGCTTATCCTGAGGCATTCTACAGTTCTTTTAGAACAAATGCAAGCATATGTACAACACATTACGTCAGTTAGCTATCAAAAAGGAATTGGGGTGGTGGGGTAGCCTAATGGTTAAAGCGTTGGCTCGTAACGCCGAAGACCCGGGTTCGAATCCCCACATGGGCACAATGTGTGAAGCCCATTTCTGGTGTCCCCCGCCGTGATGTTGCTGGAATATTGCTAAAAGCGGCGAAAAACCAAACTCAGTCAGTCAGTCAGTCAAAAAGGAATTCACACATTCCACCTAAACAAGCACGCTCGTGTACTGTTCCCAACATCTGTCAACATTTGAAATGATGTACAAAGTCAAACCAACTGGTGTTGCTAAATGTAAGTTGAAAATATGGTTTATTCCCAGGAAGGCGACTCGTAAATCCACAGCAAGTGATGCGTGCAAGGATTATCTCATCTCATCTTTATTCTCAAAAACCCACCAGCGGTGGTACATGAGACAATTAAATACAAATGAATATAATATATGCCAAGATGGCATGGATGTACATCGGAGTTTATAATACATATACATGTACAAATATATATCATAACTAATTGTAAAAGCGTAAATGTTACAAATTAGATTTTATTTGGAACCTTTTGGAAACAATTCTTTATATATTTTGCTAAGTTACGTAAAGTGATTGTTCTTTTGGAATTGAAAAGGTTCGCCATTTTTGAGAGATTCGGCCATTGTAGAAATTGATTTGGATAATAATTGATCATTCCGAAATGAAGGCTGCACATTTAAAAAGATAATGGAACTCATCTGCAACTGCTACGAGCTGCAGAGAGGGCAAAGTCGCTCTTCGCTGGGTACTCCACTCCAGCGGCCAGTCTCAACCAGTAGATTATGGTTTGATGTTCGGAACATCAAAAGTTGCTGTGACATAGCTTTGGGAAGGAGAAGATATATTTCAAAATCTGGGGAGTGTTTGTACCATCGATAATAGATACCTTTTGGGCTTGCCATGATATTTTCTCTCCAATTTTGAATAAACTGACCTTTAAGGATTCGTTCAACATTTGAGACTAACCATGGAGTGGAATACCCAAGTGGATTGTTTAGAACAATACTTAGTCCAAGATATTTTAGGATACGCCTGATGGAATTGAGCCAGGGATAATCTTTACAATTGATTTGAGGGTCCAATGTGTCGTCAGCATAAAGTAATACAATGAATTGTATCCACATAATGACATCGGAGTTATCTGGGCACTTGTTATCGACAATTCCCCCTGCACAACCTTTATGATTCTAAATCATTTAAGAATATAGAGAACAGCAGCGAAAAAAGGTTCTCGCCTTGTCTTACTCCGGTGAGGCATGGGAAGTAATCTGAATAAGTATTATTTACCTGAACTTGAGATTTGATGTCTTTATACATGTTCATTATTAATGTAAGGATTTTACCTTTAATACAATTTTTCTGCATTTTTGACCATAATCCTACTCTCCAAACTGTATCAAAAGCCTTGGAGAAATCAATGAAAGCACAGTACAACTTTCTTTTCGATAACTTTAGGAACTGCGTAAGTAGATGGAGAACAAATACGTTGTTGGCCGTCATGAAATGTTTACGAAATCCAACCTGGATAAAATCGCGTTTTTGTCAAGAAAGTTTGAAAGTCGCGTATTAAGTATTCGTGTGAACAGTTTCCCTAAGCAGCTTAGAATTGTGCTAGGTCTATAATTGCTTGGGTCTTTGGTATCGCCTTTATTTTATATATAGGCTTAATGATGCCATTAAGCAACATTTCGGGCAAAGAACCTGTTGTAAGTACCAAATTGAAGAATTCAACATAAACCAGTGCTAAGATTTCGGCCGAATCTATAATGTAATCGTTTTCTATCGCTGTGGTCGAAGTTGGAGAACAAAAAATGTTTCTTGTGATTACAAGCATCATGGCAGGAGTAAATACGTAAATGGAAAAGTACACAAAACGAAATATTCCAGAAGTTTATTACATCGTCGTCATTGCCATTATATACAATTTTATATACATGTTTTTTCTATAATTGTGCAGAAATACTGATTTTTTAGGAAAATATAAATTTACATGTCACATTTAATAAATTTCAAAAATACATAAACAACATAGAAACATATGCAATACATGCCTATCGAGAAATTTAGTTAAATGACAAACATAATATAAAATTCAGGACAGCTTCCACAGATGTGAGGCGGCGTCAGCGTAGTGGAAGACGTCGATGGCATCCGTCTAGCTGGAGTCGGTGTTGCAGACACATCAACTTGCGGCCTATGTCGACATATTTCCTCCTTTTTGGTGGTTGGCTCTGCCCGGTAGAAGGTTCCGTCAGCATAGATGGTCTCGGCTTCACATAGTCGACGCAGGTTGACTGATGTGCTGAGTTCAAGTATTTTATCATCTCTCAATCATTGTTGAAAACAAACTGCTCTCCGGCATCTGTTCTTTGGAAGTCGTCGGGGATGGTGATGTCTCTCCGGAACTTTGGCATGGGTGGGAAGGTTTTCACTCCCTCGTTGTACAGGGACGGTACTGGAGCATTTATACCTAGTGTATGAGTTAAGTGACTGGTACTTCCAATTACAAATAATCAACGTCAAATCAATTATATAATTAATAACTCACTGGTACTTCCAATAAAAAAATAATCAATGTCAAATATCCTTGGACTAAAGCTCACTTGTACTTCCAATCACAAGTATTCAATGTCAAATCAATTCCTTAGATAACAACACACTGGAACTTCCAATAAAAAAAATCAATAAAGTAATCAATGTCATTGGTACTACAAATTTTTCTTACTTTTGAGTTCTTTCCGCAGTCGAGTTCGACGTTTTAACCTAACCACAACTTTAAGCCCTTATTTCAACATGCGGTGCACTTCAAAGAAAATTTGACTGAAATCACAAAGTAGGTCGTCTTCCCGGGAAGACACCGGAAATATGGCACAGATGAAGCTGCGGTTTTGGCTTTTGTTTATCGCATCAGGTCGAGCATTTTAGATTTATGTAAAGAGGATTAGATTAATACTAATTTCTATATAAACATATACTATACTAAACAACCCCAAAGCCTAAAATACCTTGATTAATTGGCTCTCAGCTTTTCTCATTCATATTATCATACCGTGTTAAGAAATTAAATTGTTACAAATGTGTTTACCTCACAGATTCATATGATTGAACTGTTAGAAACAGATAATTTCCTAACGAATGGAAAAGAATAAGCCAGGTGTTTTAATTGAATATAAATTTGAAAGGAAACTGATGTTTACCTAATAAGTACTTCTTGTAGGTTTCTTCTTTCCTCGATAGACAGTCGACCCCGGTAGAGCATGAGTCCCAAACTTTATAAGATTTTGATATTTCCAAGAAGTAAATGTTTATGAAATCGACTTGTCTTATAAGCTGAATGGTCATGGATTATAACCCCTATATCATTTGGTCATGACACATTATATTTTGCTTACATCTGAAGCATTTCTTGACACGTCTGTCGGCGCGAATCGGAAAAGCCGAGAAATCGACCACTGTCGACGTCTTTACAACATAATCAATTGAATAATTCATTTCACGCATTGTGCATTTTTAGGCTAAATGAGGTTATGTAGCCGCTGTGTCAAGATTTTAGCTTCTGTCAAAACATACAGAGATATTTACGAAAACAATAACTGTACGCATCGATGGTATTTGCTCATGTAAAACAAATCAACTGAACCGGTTGTTGAAAAGGTACTGTACGGGTAGTTGGTTTCCTGTTATTTATCAACTGAGGTAGGCGAATTTTTAAAGTACATGTATAATGTATCAGGAATATTATTTGTAAGCAAAATATGATACAATTCCATCCAACACACCCACCCCAGTCCCTGAGAAAAGTTTGTTTTGAAATGTTATTGCAGATCCTTTTGACCTTTTGAGTCTGGGATTTAAAATAAGATATGCTTCAGACAGGGGGAAAATACATTTGGGATACAATGACATGTGTCAACCCAGTCAGTGAGCCTGACCACAGATCCCGTTTGTCGCCTCTTACGACAAGCATGGGTTAAAGAAGACAAGTTCTAACCCGGATCTTCATGGGTATTTGACATATTGGGAAATCGCAGGATCTAGGTCAGTGTACGGAAATTACTGCTTGACATAACCCAGTGAAGATCCGAGTTAGAATTGATCTTCAGTAACTCATGCTGGTCCAGACTCGATTATTTACAGGCCGCCACCATATAGCTGGAATATTGCTGAGTGCGGCGTAAAACTAAACTCACTTACTAATGCTTGACATTGACTTCTCAAGAGCAGATTTAGCTGCCGAATCTGCCTTTGAGTTTCCCAAGATTCCAACGCGATTTGGCAGCCAACAAAAAGGGATGTCCATGCCAGCCACGGGCACATTTACATGGCATTTCAGTGAATTTACATGAACATTCAGTGATGGTCAGTACTGCGATTGTTAATCGCCTGCAAACTATCTGAAAATATTTTAAACCTGCCTTCCTTGGAGCGTTCAATACGGTGTAGAGCTAACAACATGACCTTAGCCTCTGGCGTTAAAGTGGAACTTGAACATACAATAGTAGCTACTCTAGGTTGCCTAGCATAAGTCTGTACACTTTGCTCTGCCTATATCATTACCAAGCAAAGTGTAAAGTTCAGTATTTTGTTTGCTAGTCTTATGTTCTCAGCTTATCCAGCAGAGTGGTAACACGGGCAAGTATGGTTGGATACTTGAAAACTACAATGTTACGTTGTTCTTCAATGAAACTTCCTTTCAGTTCATTAATTGCCTCCCTCCTGTCTTCGTCTGTCAAAAGTGGCCTCTTTTGACGAATTGTACTAAGGTCCAGCTCTCCACCCATTTGGATTAGTTCCTCAAATAACAGCTTGTATGAAGCTTTTTGAGCAATGAGTGCTTTTGTAGATTCCATCAAAAAGCTAACTGGATTCCTAAAAAACTCTGTCGCTTTCCAATTGAATTGCTTCATCATGCTGAAAAACATTTCGCAGCAGTTCGGGAAACCATGTGAAGTGGACAAAGAACAGACTACGTCCCTTGTTTCTTCATCAATCCTTTTTTGACTGTAAACTTCAAAGATCTGTACTTTTTCTTCAAAGGACAGTTTGTAAGACGGAGAACTTAGATCAATTAGGCTGTCTTCACAATTCACCAGGGTCTCAAATTTATCTAAGAAGTTTTGAGCCTCGTTCATCACATTTATTCTGCAAACGAGAAGAAGTTTGATGCATCTAAAATCCGAATGGATCCTGTCTGATCTTCGGTCAGTCAAGACATCTTCCAGAACGTCTCTCCACTTCTGCAGCCTCTTCTTCTCAAACACAGACAATCCGAAAATATCATCTATCAGGATGTAAATATCCTGAGAAATCCCAGCAGCAGTAATGGAGAAATAGTCACTTTTGGTATGCACTGCAAATACTTTAGCTTGTTTTTTAAGTTCTCTCAGTGCCATGTAGGCTAAAGTTGTCTTTCCATCCCCTGGGAGGCCAGTGATAGTCACACATTTTCTGTTTCCTTGGCATTTTTCCACGACTTTAGTGAGTGCCCGCGTCTTGATGCAGTGGTGCGTTTTGTTGGTGATTTCTCTTTCTGTGCATCCTGAAACGGAGTACAAAACACTTAAAGTACTTAACCAGTTAAAGGGGATATTTATTTTGACTATTTATGAACCACATTCATAGTGTAGAAATAATATAAATCCAAATTATATATTGAGTGTGTTTATATCCCATTCTAAGGATTGGCCCAATTTGTCACTGAGCAGAAGAAGTTGTGCACATGTTTGACAATATTATGTGAGCAGACAAAACGATTAATAATATCTCAGTTGCGCTGCTCTGTACGTATGCGAATCAAAACAATACCATTAATGTGCATTTTGTACCACTCAAAGTTGTCAGATAAAGTAAAGCTGCACATTGAGTTTCAGGTGGACAGGCAAGCTGACTTGGTTGAAGCATGTCATCGCATCCCATTTCCGATGCTCAAGATGCCGATCACCTGATGAATTATTTATAGACCGCTTTCATATCGCTGGAATATTGCTGGGTGCGGCGCTAAACAACATGCAAACCACATTGATATTCAAACTATAAGATTTACTTGTGTCATTACCTTGAAGTGAATCCACCTTTAGGTCGTTCGGGTTGACAGTTACATTTTCAAAGCGGTTGACTGAAAGCATAGCAATACTAATATTGTGTGGAGAACATCTAGTATAGTTTTAATGGATACCAGTAAATGACAGTGATCTTTTACATATATAAATATAGCCAAACATATGTTCAACTGACCGATAGTGTGAGGTCCAAATGTGCACCCAGTGACAGCAGACTGTCCAACAGAACCACCTTGTACTCCAGCTACGTTCAAACTGATGTTAGTTCCACCTTATTTACAAAACAAAACAAACCAAACATCTCAGTGAAAAGCAAACCTGAAAGTATTATGATAAACATATATTTCTGATTCGATATGCCTGTATATTTTATATTTTGGCATTGTTGAGGTGAGGTGAGGTGAATTTTGGTTTAACATCGTGCTTGAGAATATTTCGCTCATATGACGACGTGCATGTGTGTGTATATGTATGTGCGGCTGCTTGTACTAGCCTAGACTGAAGCTGGTTTTATAGTGCTAGCCCACTGAGATACCATGCCGCAGTGAAGCATGAATACCCCACGCAGACACATTATACTGACTCCGAGCCGACCAGTCCTTGATGTACCCATTACTGCCGAGCGCCAGGCAGGGACCAACAAGTACCATATTTTAACGTCTTTTCGTATGACGCGGTCGGAGATCGAACCCGCGACCTTCCGCTCTCCTGACGGACGCTCTAACCACTACATCACGGAGGCGGTCTTTTGGCATTATTCAATAAGGGACGTTCGCACAGTTGTATTTCAATGTACAAAACATGGATTGATAGTATATCAAAGAAAGGACACCAAGCTTGTTAATATATGCTTACTTACTTTCTCGTGGACCACTGTCCTTCGATGAAGACATCTTGTGTATTGTCCTGAAATATAATTTGCAAAGTAAATAGAATGCAACAGAAGTTTATTTTAATGCAATTTTTCAGCTATATGAAAGGCGGTCGGGTCTGTATCGATCTGCTAAGTCAACCAGGTCAGTGAGTCTGACCACCCGATCCCGTTAATCGCCCGTTACGACAAGCATGTTTTGCTGAAGACCAATTCTAACCCGTATCGCCTCGTCTTGTATATAACGTCTTGGGTAATTCATATTATGGACGTTCACTATATTCTACGGATATGCCTAATATATTGATAAATCAGAAAATACAAAACAAAATAGATATAACGTTTGAAATAGAAATGAGAAAACAGTCTCTAACACCTATATAATAGCGAGCAAGCAATGACCCTTTGTCCTATAGGTCACAATTTCTGAACATTATTTGTTGTCACAAAAAATAATGTAGGTGATAGTCATCTGCACTACTTTGCGTTTCAAAAACCTATACTAACTAACCAGCGTGTATGCGATACATAAGTAGAAAAAACTGTAAAAATTTGTAGCCTACAAATACACATACACGAGTTCACTGCCACGGTGAGTTACCTCCCTTTGTTAAGGACAACCATCAACTTATACTTTATTTATACTCAATATTTTATTCATACTTTCATTGGAAAAAGTCTGTTAACATGAATTGCTTCTGCCTCTGTAAATTTGCACGTAATGCAATGTTTTCAGTCATTAACCATTGTGGAGATGACAAAACTTTATGGATGATCAATTCTATATTTTGACAATGGCGTCGTTTCGGTATAGGTTCTTATACCGTTTTTAAGCATATGGGGGATGATTGGGTTCACCAGTTTATATACGGCTAGCAGCCTGGTCTGTATTTTCTGGAGGCGTTGTAATTGTTCATCAGAGATACCAAATAGTAAACTATTACAGTAGTCCAAGCGTGATAGAACTAGAGGTCGAACGAGGGTGACCGTTGCTTCCATAGTTAAGATGTTGCGTATGGAACCAATATTTCGGAGATGGAAGCTGCATGTTTTGCACAAGTGGTTAATATGACTTTTCATTGATGGATTTGAGTCCAAATAATCACCAAGGAAGTGGATGAAAGCTGACACTTCCTCTGTCTTTGACGTGGAGCAATAATGATGGCTTCTGTTTTACTATCGTTTAAGACCAGTTTGTTGTTTGTCTTCCAGGACTTGACCTCATTGAGACATGACTCAATGCTATCCTTGGCCTCCTTCTGACTGCCTGGACTCGGTTTAAAGCTATCCATCAATTGGGAGTCATCAGCATAAAAATGCCGTCCAATGCGATGATCAGAGATCAATTGTCCTGGAGGTTTGGTGTACATAGTGTACAGTATCGGTCCTAAAACTGAGCCTTGTGGCACTCCATATTTTAGTACATCGCTGTCTGACTTAAGTCATATTCAAGTATTATTCTCACTAATATGATCATTATTAGTATTATTACAACATGAACCTGCTACAGTACAACTTCTGTACCATGTATTGTGTAACAATACTGTTGCATTATCATTTGATAAAATTTGGTACATCAACTGCCACTGCTTATCTTATGAGATATTTGCTACAATGTGATCTTTATCTCCTGCGTTTGAAAAGTACCATAAATTCATCAGATAACCACTACTGTATTATCTTTTGTAACCGTTGATATATCTGTCACCATTACTTGTCATGGGTGATACCTTTTGCAATGTGGCTCTTTGTACCTATATAGTACCATATATGTACCATGTAATGGCACAACAGTATAGTATCCGGTATGAACTGATTGAAATTGTATGTTACTGTACGAACATGTAACCTTATACAATGTTTGTTTAATGAAACATAAAAATATACAATGTTTGTTTTATATGCTACTGTACGAACATGTAATCATGTACAATGTTTGTTTTATATGCTACTATACGAACAGGTAACCATATACAATGATTGCTTTATATATTACTGTACAAACGGGTAACCATATACAATGTTTGTTTTATATGTTACTGTACGAACATGTAACCAAATACAATGATTGCTATATATGTTACTGTAAGAACAGGAAACAATCTACAATGTTTGTTTTAAATGCTACTGTGCGAACAGGTAAGCATATACAATGTTTTTTTTATATGCTACTGTACGAACATGTAACCATATACAATGATTGCTATATATATTACAGTACCAACATGTAACCATATACAATGATTCGTTTATATGTTACTGTACGAACAGGTAACCATATACAACGATTGTTTAATATGTTACTGTAAGAACAGGTAACCATATAGAATGTTTACTGTATATGTTACTGTACGAACAGGTAACCATATACAATGTTTGTTTAATATGTTACTGTACGAACAGGTAACCATATACAATGTTTACTGTATATGTTACTGTACGAACAGGTAACCATATACAATGTTTGTTGAATATGTTACTGTACGAACAGGTAACCATATACACTGTTTGCTGTCTATGTTACTGAACGAACATGTAAGCATATACAATGTTTGTTTTATATGCTACTGTACGAACATGTAACCGTATACAATGATTGCTGTATATGTTACTGTACGAACATGTAACCATATATAAGTATTGCTTTATATGTTACTGTACGAACATAAAACTATGTACAATGATTGCTTTATATGTTACTGTACGAACAGGTAACCATATACAACGATTGCTTTAAATGCTACTGTACGAACATGTAGCCTTATACAAAGTTTGCTTTGTATGCTACTGTACAACTACGTAATCCTGGTGTACTGAAATAAAAATGTTTAAAAAACCCTTCTTTATTTTGACAATTGGGTCATTTCGGTATATACTTTATACCGTTTTCAAGCATATGGGGGAATGATGGGGGTTCACCAGTGTATATACAAGATACATGTACAATATGATAATGACATAACAATAACGAAACCATCGTGAAGTAACAGAGATGTTTATTTGAACAACGGACTGATATTTAAGTCAGCTGCGACCGGATTACTAAGCCTTGTTCTCATAGCAAGTTGATTGTTGGGACGGATATATTTGTCAACTACGTCCGCATCACAAAGCATTGTTCTCAAAGCAAGTTGATTGTCGGGACTGATATGTTAGTCTGTAACTCACTGGTATGTCAGTAAATCTTAAAAAGACTAAGATTCTTGTTTTTAGAAATGGTGGCCCTCTAAGAGATTATGAAAAATGGTATTACAATGGTAAACAAATTGAATGTGTATCCTTTTATAAATATTTAGGACTTGTATTTACATTAAAACTTGTATGGAGTAAAGCACAGACATGTCTTGTTTCTAAGGCCAATAAGGCATTATTTTCTGTAAATAACTTCTAAAGAAAAATGGGTGGTGTCAATTGTAAAGATTTGTTTAAAATATTTGATTGTATGATCTCACCTATATTATGTTATGGAGCTGAAGTTTGGGGCACCAGTTATTGTAAACTCATAGAGTCTGTACAAATTAAATTTTGTAAGTATTTCTTAAAAGTTGGTAAATCATCTTGTAATAATGTGGTACTTGGAGAATGTGGTAGACTCCCTTTACAAATTGTATATATGACTAAGGTTGTCAAATATTGGTGTCATTTATTGTACTTACCCCCACACAGACTCCCAAAACACTGTTACAAAATGCCGAAATCATTAGATGATGTTGGACGTGTAACTTGGGTAACTAATGCTAAACATTTTATATTATATTATACATTTTTATATGTATTTTATATACTTATGGTTTTGGCTATGCATGGGTCAGTCAGGATATTGGTAATGTCAAGTATTTTATGTTTCTTTTTAAACAAAGACTGACCGATAATTTAAAGCAATCCTGCCTGGTATTCTTCCATTAAAAATTCACATAAAAACTGTTTATTATTGTCAGTATAAGACTCTGTTAGATGTAGAAAAATATTTAAATTGTAATATTTATTTAAATTTGAGATCTGCCCTTTCAAAATTTAGATGCGGAAACATTAATCTAGCAGTAAAGACTGGGAGATATGAAAATATTGCTTCTAATGAAAGATTTTGTTTATTTTGTAAATCTAAAGGTATTAATGTTGTTGAAGATGAGTGGCATATTTTGTATATTTGTGAATGTTTCTCTGATATTCGAGGGAAATATATTGGGAAATATTTAAGTAAGCCGCCGACGATAAACAACTTTATCCATATTATGCAATCTGCAAATGTCGATATGATTAAGAATGTTTCTTTATTCTTATATAATGTACAAATTAGAATTAAGAGCAGAACACTTTTATAAATCATTGTGTACCATTCATGTGTTTTGTGATCACGCATTTGACTGTATTATGGGCCAGTGCCCTTTTACTGAATAAAACTGTCTGTCTGTCTGTCTGATATGTTAGTCTGTAATCCGTAATTGAGAGAGTCAGGATTATTAAGAACGGTTTAATGATAAATTAAGAACAATTTTGCCGGGACTCAAAGAGTAGTCTGGATTATTTAGAAAACTGGATTGCACAGAGTCCGGATTTGACAGATTCCACTGTAGTCGGAATCGTACAATCGCAGGTACGTTTAGCAGTTGTTCATTTCGAATATATTCAGCATACAGTCCATGAATGATACATTTGGTCAAGTCATAATTCTTGTCAGAACACAGTGTAAGTACAGGACAATCCAAATGTAATCAGAGCGGTGCAATCAATTCGAACATCATACACAATCTTCTAATAGGGTATAGATTACCTCCCTTAAATAATACTTATACTTTATTGCCCGACAAAGAAATTCGTTTTTACAACAGTGAGACATACAACATTAAACACAGAAACACGATCACCTTAGACACACACATACACAGGCTGAGAAGGATAACCAGTGTATACTGTAATTGACAAGTAGACAAATGCATATACAATTGTGGCTAGGTCTAACATTCATTTAAATGTTTAATGCTTACAGGTATAAAAGATTAAATCTTTGAAGGGCAGTTAGAAGTGGAATGCATAAGAAAAGCAAGATTTATGGATGTCAACTTCTTTATTGTGAATAACACCATGTTTCGGAGTGAATGCTTACTCCTTCATCAGGTGAAAATACTGGTATTTCATCAGGTATAAAAATGTTTGGGACATTTTTGTGCGAACTTTAGGGACGAGGAATCTACGTCCAGACGGTAAAAGTTTAAAACAAGAATGTAAATGATGAGACGGGTCGGAGCATTTTTTAAAACACGATTCTCTCTCTCACACTCACACACACACACTCTCTCTCTCACACACACACACACACACACTATATATATATATATATATATATTATATATATATAAAACAAAGGGGGTTAAAATTCATGCCGATAATTTTTGAACAGGTGGTTACAACTTTTGCAGGTTGTTTTTGTTTTGGAGACAAAGGGCACCGAACCAACACTAAACAGAAAACAGTACAATATAAAATAGATTGGATACAACAGTTATAGAAAACATTCAAAATGGTACAGTCAATGCTAGAAGATCTGAGCCTTGTCATAAAATACATCCGTTGTGGACATTTCTTGTATATAGCCTCGGCATTTTTTGAGAAAATGAGTTTACTGTCTATGATAGTTGAATAAATAAACACACAAATAAATGAATGAATGAATGAATGAATGTATCTTACTGTATTTATCCCTCAGAAAATGGTCTCAAGCAAGATAATAAATATATTACCTGATTCCATAACAGCATGATTTACTTTATTAAAGGTATTAGTATCAGTGACAAATAGTTGTTTTCCTGTAACTGTTAATTTATACTTCCGTGGCATCTGTACATTTCAGTTTATACACAGCAAGGATTCTGAAATGCTACGGTACTTAAACAAACTTGTCAACATGACATACATTGCTTGTACATAATATGGAAAAGGCGTGTTTCTGGCTATACAGTTGACAGGATGTAATCACCTCATCATGCGCAGCTGAGGCTTTACGGTAATGAAAACAATTTAATTTTCTTTTCTTCTCCAGCAAATCCTTGCCATCATCCCCTTACCATACCCATTTTGTGATTAGCACATCTGAGCTTGCTCAATGGTCAATAATTGTTAGGTTTACTACCTTTCATTGCACATATTGACAAAGTGGGTACATATCCACCTCCTTGTTCACGCCATACTAAACCAAAACCTAAGTTAGTTAATAAATATTTCAAACTTGTTGCCCATGTAGATCTACCTATTTCATCGAACCGTGATAACATCAAATCGCAGGCCGTTAGGTATTTTGTGGTAGGCATATATCCAACTTGTAATCAATATTTTGTGACAGTGTACATATATGACGTATGTGTAGAGAATGCCTTCCTAGCTCTCAAAGTATATAATAATATATGATAGTGCTTAATGAATTACCAAATATCTTTGTTTTAATACGTTATATATATCAATTTTGATATCACTACCTACAGTAGAAAGTTTCTATTGTTAGTTTTAAACATATTTTATTCTTGAGAAAAGAACTGGGTACAAGTTAGACAACTAAAAACACCCTCTCCGTAGTATTTACATAGATTTTATTTACATTCTTTATACACGATGGACAGAAAACTGTCTTTTTGGTTGTCATTATCAGATCCCAAAGCGAAGACAACTCTTGGCCTAGTACACCGTGCATTGCCATATTTCCACTACACTGTTTTGTGGGCACACTGGTCATAATTGCACGAAACGCTTTGTTAATCAAATACCCGATAAATCATCTGCCCACTTGGACATGGGATGAGGATGTGTGTGTGTGTGTGTTTGTGTGTATGAAGTTATCAAAACAGAAATGGCATAAGTCTTGCATACATACATTTGTGTGTGAGACTTACCTACCTAGTTAATAATCTAGTACTGAAACCCCCTAATGTCAATATTAATACATGTATACCTATCTCAACAATTCTCTTGTGGTGAGCATTTGATCATGTCCCAGAGCGTGCAGTGTTGATACTGCTGTGTATCACGTAAAGCGAAATATCAAATAGGACGGAGCCCAAGTTCAGTAATAAACAGCCTGTGGTAACCAAGTGTACTTACACCCGCTTCGTCTGTTAAAAACAATTCCATTCCGGATTTCAATCTAAAATTGAAAACCGACGTACACAAATCAAAACCAACGTACACGTATACAAAGGTCAGTATACTCACACACTGTGCCTTGTCTCTTTCCAGATCAACTTTCCTTTGTTATATGCCTTGTAGTGTTCGCACGTAGCGAAGTCTTTCGTGGTTTTCTAGTTTACAATTCACCTTTCACGGTGACAGTATATCAGCAATGTGCGAAATACTAGTGTCTGTTGTATTCTGGTTTCCATACCACACAGCTGCGCCACAAATGGTCCTTATGTCGAAGTGTTACCAACACCATCAAGGATATACACCGACCTAGATACTAACAGCTGTAACGACCTGTGCACGATGATTCAAGACATGCTCAGATCTAGGTCAAAGCAATAGGTTGTATGAATTCCTCGGGAATGCACGAATGCATATAAAGAGCAGATACGACCCCTGAGATCGGGGATAGAATTGCTGTTCAGCCAACCATGCTTCTCGTAAGAGGTGACTAATGTTCATTAGTATGATCGTTAATTCATTAATGGACAAATATATGCAAAACGTCATAGGTCAGAAAGGTCAATTACGGATCCAGTGTGCTATTGCACCGATGCAATTCCTGACTCGACCCTTCATAAACGTAAGAACAATGCATAGTAATACATGAACATCCATGTAACGTAGTTTTGTACTGGACCGGATAAGCGTTTGAACATGAGCCACGCGGAATGGAATGTGTCTTTCTGTGTATCCAAGCTAGCAAACAAACTGTGTGAGCGCGTGTGTGCGCATTGAACGACATTAGTGATGGTTAAGCTACCATCCTGAGTCATTAAGTAACTAATGACATGGGCATACAGGATAAACCAAATATACTGACCAACACAAAACTTCACACTTGGAGAAATGAACTATAGTGAAGTGAGTGAGTGAGTGAGTGGGTGGGTGAGTGAGTGGGTGGATGGGTGAGTGAGTGAGTGAGTAAGTGAGTGAGTATGGTTTTACGCCGCTTTTAACAATATTCAAGCAATATCACGGTCTGGAACACCAGAAAATTATATTGAAAATGGGCAGTACAAGGTATAGTTAATATGGGCGAATACCACAATGGTCAGGTATAACATGCCTCATCCTCCCATTTGAACTGAAGTGAACCACGCGGGTGTACGTGATAATGTATTTATCCTCATTTGGAGTTTTCATTCTGGTGACATTCGTTTCGCTTGTTTTTCATTCAGTGAATTTTGTTAATATCTTAACTCAACTGGTGCACGGCCCTCTTGAAAGATGATGTGACGTCAAGAACTCAGTTTGCTGTGAAGTTTTCAATGCCTTAGGACAACAGCAGCAACAGAAACCAGTTCACGTTTTGGCATCATCGTCGAAATCCAAAACAACAACAACTACAACAACAACACCATTATGTTTTTCATGATGTGGATAGCACATGCATCTCAAGACATTGAACCACTAACAAAGGAGAATATAAACAATGTTTGTATGTGAAACACTGATTATTCATAAATTCATGAAAGAATAAGACACCGAACATCCTATATTACAATAACATTTCTGTTCAAAAATACACTTCCAGGGTCTCTCTCGAAAGTTTCGAAAGTTTTGTTTTGGTGGGACTGTTATTGATTTACGTTTTACGTACACAGAATTACCTTTCACTCATGCTTGTTTTTGTTACTTTTTTAATCCATCAACAGGTTCAGTGACATGGCGCATGCAAGGTTTCCACGATGTTAACAAATTGTTTGTATCCTTTAGGTTGGGTATGCCGTATCGTATTAGCAGAACGAGATTAGAACTTGGCGTTGTGTAGTGCAAGCTCCAGTTTATCATTGATGGATAACTTGCACAAGTCTATTTGATCCCTAATGAAGATCAATGTGTCATGAATTTGCCAACAGATGATGTAGAGCTAATGTTATGAATCATAGCCTTTTGGTTACCAATCACTTTAGATGCCTCTATTGAATCTTGACATGATTCATTCGAGTGTGCAACAGTCTCCTGACTGTAGGTCCCTTCCTGTGCAGGGTCTACTTCATGTGAATCAATATCATTGGATTTACATTTTTCCACTTGAGTGAGTGAGTGAGTGAGTGAGTGAGTTAATTTTCAAATTCACATCGGCAGTATTTCAGCCATATCGTAACTAAGAGAATTGCATACTAATGAAAACAAACTTAGACAATAGAAATACCTGTCGATTAAGGACAGTATAATAACGAGACTACCACAGATTTAGACGTAAAACTAGCGAATTACAATAAAACGGTTTGTTTATAAACAAAGATACAACTTACAAATGGGCTATTTACACCACTCCTTCAGATGTTGGCGATTATTACAAATTTAGCCAAGAAATAAAACAATACATATTCTACGATTAAAATGTAGTCGTATTAAATATACTTTGAAAGACCTGGTCTTACGTACCCTCTCAGAAAGAAAATGATTTTTACAATACCTTAACTCCCTTTGAGGATACAGCCACAAACAATCTAAATTACTAATATAATGTAAAAAAATGAATGCCATTTATCTATTTACAAAACATTATAATCAAACATTTTCGAACAGTTCTATTTCCTTTCAAAAGTCAATGATGTAATGACAATTAGCATTATTTACTGTTTTACAGTTATCATTTTTCGATGAAGCCTTCAAAAGATTCGATTTAGGCTGGTTGGAGCATGGGAAAATAGAAACCTTTCACGTATGTGACTGAAATACATATGATCAAACGTTTGTCAAGCACAGTGGGAAAATGTCCTGCGTGGTTATGACAGTAATTTCTTTCTTCGGGGTGGGGTCTTTATTTTTGACGAAAAGGTACTGTACAATGCGTGAGGGACACCTATCAAAATGAAAGAAATTGTACTTGCCATTGCATCTGTAACACTGCTCTTCCATCGGCCATGCTGTGTCCTTGATTTTGGGTACGTCCATTGATGAGTGTGCTGCCACGGCCTGGTGGCATACCATGGGGACTGCCTGTGGAATTGAGGACGTTGATTCTGTCGGGACTTGTAAGTTTTAACCTTTAACCATACCGGACACTGAAGCAATCTGTCCTCTCAAAGTATCGGTTGTCAGCTTGATACTCTTTAGCTTGTGAGAGGACCGATCTAGCCAGTAACTGTCTCATTAAGCACTGTTTGCTGTTTCATTAGAGCATGCGCTTGGTAAGGTCATCCAGGTCCCGGACGAATGTGTCCATAAAGTCCGTATCTGTCTTTCCTAACATGCTTCCCGTATCAGTCAAATCAGCCAAATATGTATCTATTGATTCCTTAGGAAACAACTACAAAAATCTCAAAATGGACATCCGGTTAAGTGGGTGGACGTATTTGTCCTTAAAATGTGCCTGCCTCGTCAAAATGGACTGCTGATTGTACCAGATATACGCCTTCAAAACTAACGGGTAAACTTCAATTAGTGTGCATCAATCCACTTATTAAAGTGAGATGTGTCTCTGCCTGTGAAATGTTCCGGAATTATGTTCTAATCTCCCATACTGAAGTCAGAGGGGGGGGATTTTGGACTGAAGTCATCTGGTGACGAACCAAACAGGTGAATGGCAGGGAGAACATTAGCGTCCTGACATAAAAGATTCTCGCCAGTGTAAGAACAATGGAGGGAAGGATCCTGGGGAGGAAGGGTCGGTGGGATTAGTCTGGACGGCTGTTGAGTCATACCAAGTCGGGATGGATTTGTAAAAAATGTAGAAGAGAAGGGACATGACATGAGGTGAGGTGAAATTGGGTTTAACCTCATGCTTGAGAATATTTCGCTCATATGATGACGTGCATGCGTGTGTATGTGTATGTGCGGCTGCTTGTACTAGCCCAGACTGAAGCTGGTTTTATAGTGCTAGCCCACTGAGATACCATGCCGCAGTGAAGCATGAATACCCCACTCAGACACATTATACTGACTCCGAGCCAACCAGTCCTTGTTGTACCCATAAATGCCGAGAGCCAGGCAGGGACCAACAAGTACCATATTTTAACGTCTTTTGGTATGACGCGGTCGGGGATCGAACCCGCGACCTTCCGCTCTCCGGGCGGACGCTCTAACCACTACACCACGGAGAAAAGGGACATGAAGGGACATGACGCGAAATGACCATCAACTGGCTTAGACGCATTAGACTCTTATGCATCAGATACCGGAAATAACATATCCCACTTGCGAAAATGGAACCTACCGCCAACCGTTCGTCAAGGTGGGGTGTTGAAGAGACATAGTTGGAACGACAATAGGAAAAACAAAGAATGAGGACGTCTTAAACATATTGATTGAGAAAACCCCACAGACTCTACCATGTCGTAACTGCATTTGGGTCAGTTGAACCTACATGAGTTACCTACACGTATTGCTGTTCCATGTTATCCTGGGGGAGGTAAGCTCACCTGGTCAGTCGATGGTCGTTAAGTCATGGAGAGAGTTGTCATGCACTCTTGCACATTCTTACAAAGGTTAACCCCAAACCAAGATCTATACTCACATAGGTGTACTTTGTCTCAGTACATCGCTCTTACGATAACACCAGACAGCATAGACTCGTCCCAACTTGTGGTAATTGAGTGACGATCTTGAAGCCAGCATCACTCTATTTGTGTTAAGGTATCTTTTTATACTGTGACAAGATGTTCCACTACGTCGTACACGTGTTGAATCTTTAAACACTCTGTCTAAACACGCACTCATGTTTGTCGTGATTGAAAAATACCGGACATCACTGATTGGTTAGTCAGCCCTTTACTACTCTTCTTGATTGTTATAACGTTAGCCTAATCTGCCTCTCAAGAACCTCGTTAGCCTAATCTGACCTGTCTCTCATGACTACTGTGCTCTTCTCTTACCATCTAATTAAATGGCAATTACCGCATGGAACAATCACCAAATAAATATATCTCTACAGATTTGCTTTGTTTCCGATGCTTTCCACAAATATCCACGACTCTGGGGCAATTAAGACAAGAACCGCACACTTAAAATAAATTTGTTGTAATTTCCTAGTGTTTTAGGGGTGCAGTTCTACTTTATATCAACCCTCAAGGAGTGTTGAAGAAAAGTAAAATAATTGTCCCCCGAAGAGGGTATGTAAGCTCCACACCATTCCACAAGTTATCATACACGTCATACGTTTAAACGTAGTATTTCCGTCATTTTAATTTTTGGCTATACTCATCAATTATCGCTAATGACTGAGGGTGATAATATTGTTTTTTTACTCTCTTTTGTCGAAAATATAAATTGTCGATTAGATTTTAAACCTTAAGATTTATGTACTATTGATATGTTACTAGTTTCGGCTTAATTGGACACATATACTGCCGACGTGACTTTAAAGGCAGTATGTCACACTTCACTTCTCTAAAATAAATATTGCATTTATCTCAATATTACTAACTATCAGCCCTCAGGGAAGCTACCATATAATTTAAAAATAACGTACTAGTATATAAATTACAATATTAAATAAGAAAGTTCGAGTGAATTTATGCAACGTTGCATTAAATCGACTCTCGCGCCCTTTACTGGCCGAACATTATTTCAAGCAAACCCGAAAGAGTTATGTCCCTTGGAGTGCTATTTACGAGTATCCTATGACGCAACTTGTGACTGAAACCAGTCTGGCAAGACTGCGTGCGACCGTTTTCGACGACGAAGCAATTATTTACATTCCCTATATGGCAAGTGTTATCTGTTAGGAAGCCGTTCGCCTCGAAGTTTTAATTATTGATTTCAGGCAAGTCGTAAGAGATAGTAAGTCTTTTCTTGCATCAATAGGAAGCTAAAGTGAGTGCACAAGCCTCAATATGTATAATAAAGGCCAAAATATTGTCGAAAGTGACATTGTGCCTTTAAATGTTAATTCATGCACTCGCTCAAGCCAATCCATAGAACAATCCACCTTCGGCTCAAGTATTTAATAAAGCATAACGTTGGATCACATGTCCACCATATGGGCACCATATGTCGCCATGATTAACCATGAATGAGGTTACCTCCCTTGCTTGCCTTCACCCGCTACGCCAGAAATGTTTTTTTTTTAAATAACAGATGTTACGAAGGTTTTAATAATAACGTCGGTAGATAAGAAAACTAATTTTCAACAATTTAGGCAATATGATATTTCTTTTTAATTTCTGCATATTCTTTTTCCCTCACTCCGTTGAACCAGAAGCTGCCAGGGATAATGGAGGCGAAGAACGATTAGATATGCCACGAGTGTTACTTAAAATGTTGAATGAAATATATTTTACGTGAGTAATTATTAAAGATGAGGTTGGAAATCTGAAAGCACAACCCTCTGAGGAAATGGGTGTCTGCCTTTGATTGTGGCAATATTGTATTTTGACATTAAAATATTTTTCGAACCAAAGCGAGGGAGGTACGTTGCCAACCTTTGCTCGCTTCGATCGCATACAGGGAAACTGGACATTTTTCTCTCTTTGCGCTACAGTTTGCCTGCGCTGTATATAAAACCCTGTATTTAATCATCGCGAATAATTAAAAACATGGTCTTTGACGGACAAGGAATAAAAAAAACATTTTGTCCGGTTTCATTCCTCATTAATAATAATAATGGCTTTTTGTAAAGCGCCTCTATCCATGCACTTGTGCATGCTCAAAGCACTAATGAATTATTACCCCGGGCAAACCAAGCTGCCGGTGAGGCGCTAGAAGGTTAACAGCCATATGACATATCCCACCTGTTACCCATTCACGACTGAGTGAACAGAGGCAATTCATGAACAAACTCACTTGCCCGTTGTGGGGCAGGACTGAAGTCCTAAAAAACTCTCAGCAGTCAAGCTGCCAATCACGGTCACCAATCCAAGGACTGTCTGCGCCCAACACTGCTTAACTTTAACTGACGTGGCACAGGATCACACACCTCCACCTAATTGGTCTCACTTGCTCGTAGTTCTAAATGAACCTAAACAAATGTGTCTGACAAGACTGCGTTAGACCCTGTTATCAATTCTATTGATGTTACAGATGCGTCGTAAAATCCTCAAATGCATGTTGTGACTATTTAAATGCATGGTCTTGATTCTCATCACGGGTTACTGATATACATAAACCCAGTATACGTTTTGCTATAGCCCATGACAATTGCGAATAAAATATTAATTACCAACATTATAAAGCCACTGTTATTGAGTGTGGCTGGATAGGTGCTGAGGATTATGGTAAATCTTCCGAATACCCGTTCGTCATCTTTGTGTGTGACCTCATGTGGTGAGTGAGTGAGTGAGTGAGTTAATATTTAACGTCACATCGGCAATATTGCAGCCATATCGTGACTAAAACTAGTTCTAAATGTATAATACATACATATGATATATAAAACCTTGTCAACAAAGGACAGTAAAACCACTAGAATATCACAGATTGAGTTAAAACTAGCTAGCATATATCTTTAAAAGTAGAAAACTATTTTGGGACAATACAATGTAAAACTGGGCTATAGATCGCCAACAACTGAAGTTAAATCACCATACTAGGGACCATGGGGACTTACAGTGCCTTTGCTACCTGCATGGACCCTAGTTGGATTTACATAATCCCTTCAGCCGCTGACGATTGTAGGACAAGTTTAGCCAAAATTTAAATGAACAAATATACTACGTTTAAAAATCGGGTAAGCAAAAAGTTAGCTTTGAAAGTTTTGGGACTTACGTACCCTCTCAGCCTCATGTGGTGAGTATGATGGCTTGGGGAAATTAGTCTTGTGATTTCTTCTCGGTTATCCCTAACTATTCAGTGTGTGTATATCTTCATTCCAACTCATGAGCAAAGAACTAATATCTTTGAAAATAGGATGTGACTAAAACGTAGAAACAGTTTCAAAACGTGACAGTTAAAGAAGGATTAATCACACCTCTTGAATACCCTTAATAAATACGTCAATTTGGAATACCCAATTTTATTTGTTTTTATTTTAGTCATCGTCTCACTTTGAAGTTATAGATTTTGGCAGACAGTTTAGTGAAAGTCTATGACCTGAACCACTTTCACATTAAGCTGACATTCCATGATGAAACCACTCATCGTTTTAGCATTCGTCACCACTCGCCCCTTTCCGTAACCTCCAAGTATTCGGTTTGTCCCGGAATCACACGAGTTGGTCACGAATGATCGTTTTAGCTGGCTCTTTCAAGGTGTTGCGATCTCAGCACGACGACAATCGCAGGATCATTTCAGTTTGAATGACAACTATCCTAGAGCTATGAAAGCTTTGCTTGTTTGTTTGTTCTCGAGTCTGGACCAGACATTCCAGTGATCAACATCATGAGCATCGATCAATGCTTTTGGGGTGCGATGACACGTGTCAACCAAGTCAGCGAGTCTGACCATCCGATCCCATTAGTCGCCTCTTACGACAAGCATGGATTGCTGAAGACCAATTCTAACCCGGATCTTCACGGACTATAAAGCTTTGTGGAATTGGGCATTTCTTGTCTTGGTCTTTCTAAACCAATTTTCCATGATATCGATGATTTCGGTGGCAAAGATATATAAAACGAGTCAACGAGTGAACTTCGTTTATTAAATACAGAGCTTTACACAGGTCCTCGATTAACTAACTGGTATTGTGATATAACAATTTCATGCTGTGGGGCACTTTTCAGCGGTCTCAGTGCGTCCCCAACAGGCCTCTTCCATGGTGCTGATCTTTGCCACGGCGTACGACATGTACTGTTGGTAGGTGTCGGGCATGACTCTGAGATGTCGTAGACCCAGGAGGGTGAGGTTGTTGTCACGGATGAAGTCGCCAGCTCGAAAGCTGCACCTGTACGTGAATGTTAATGAAAAGTGTGAGGTACAGTGAGATTGAAGATGGTTCAAAGTGTTAATAATTAACCTGGGGTCAACCTGTAACATCATCTTAAAGGATACAAGGAAACAATGAGGTTTTGTAAAATAAAGAAATGTTCCTCCAACTTTAATTATGACCACCGTACCACTGAAGATAATGAACGGGTAACTGTAATACTACCTATTTTGTTAATATATTCTAGCTATATCACAGGCGGGGACGCCATGAATGGGCTTCACACTCAGGGAATCGAACCCGGGCCTTCATCGTGACGGGCAAATGCTTTAAGCGCTGGCTTCCCCACCGCTCCTCAAATTGATAGATGGTTACAAGCTGTGATCAACGGCTGGGGACACCAGAAATGGGCTTCACACATAGTACCCATGTGGGGAATCGAACCCCGGTCTTCAGCGTGACGAGCGGACGCTTTGGCCATTAGGCTACCTCAACGCCCCTCCTGGGGAGAAGTGAGGGAACGTAATTTTGCGCTGTAGGCAACAATATCCAAGGTATATCACTACCGCCTCGTAATGATCCAATCTTCCATATTGCTGTGGAATAAGGCCAATTGTCATGATTTCATCATTATATTTCCTGGATGTAGCTGCTCAACCCTGGTTGATAAATAGATTGTCATGATTTCATCATTTTATTTTTGAGTGAATATGTTAGGAGCTGAGTGTATTTCTTTGCCATAAAAAATCGAAAGCACACCACGCATGATAATATGATAGTTTCAGCTAAAGTGTGTTTAGTGTCTTCAGCGTAATTTAAAACATCATTGTATACTAACAGGGGCGTAGCTGCCATTATAAAAAAAGCCCGCGCATACACATGATTTTTGCTAAAGTACACCATGAAAGTTGGGAAAGCTCTCAATACTATCTAAATATAAAGCTTTGCAACATATCAGGCTTACACGAAAAAATTGGTTTGCTACGCGCCTGACTAAACCAGCATTAGTCTGAACTAGCAAACACAGACACACACACATACATGCTAACGCACACATGCATGCACGACGCTGTATAAGGCCAATAACGCGACTTTTAACCCGAATCTCACCTCATCCTACTTCATCTGCGCGTCGGTCATTGGATATAACACAATTCTTAAGAAGTTTGTCTTTGCACCTGTTCATAACCTTGAAGCATGCAACTTAAAGTAAAGACCCAATGGGAATACCAGTGGTACAACGAAATGAAAATGTTGCAGATTATTCTAACAGTGATACGGCACTTGTCATGAAATCTATCCTGCTGGAATTTTGTTCAAACTCATAAATTAATACATAAGCATGAAGGAATACATATTTAGCAACAAGTGTTTTAGAGATTTTTTGAAAGGGATATTTCGTTTTGGATAAATGATGAACAAGCTTATAGATTTAGGAATTTCCCAGTTGACAACGAAATCATTAAACATAAGCATAATCTGTAAATATTAATCCATGCATCTGTCATAGCGTCTAATTCAGGAGAACCATCGTAAATATATTTCTAAACACCAAAATCTATGTAGCCAACCGATGTGAGAATTGTAATTATTTATATGACGCTAATCTGCAGTCTTAATCATTATTACATTGTCTTGTCAGCCACCCTGTACCACTCTGTCACTTTCATTAATTACTCAATATAATATATTTATAGCCTTAATTGGTCACCCCCTTGGCCGTGTCTGCCATCACATCAACTGGTCAAGGAAGTGCTATTGTTTCTCTGTCTGTCCATTGTTTAGCCTTCGCCTGTCCATTGTTGTCAACTGTATATATGCTCACATCTATGTTGTCAAGAAGTCCGGTATTCTGACTGTCTGTGTAGCGAGCAGGATAATGCCGCTCGTAAGAAACGTCCTGGGGTTCAGCAGGTACTCCGGTCACCTCATATATGCTTACTTGTTGATCATGTACTGTATAGTCAACTTAAGAAGTTTGAACTCAACCGATCCTTCGTCTTTGTCAACGTACACTTAGTCTTACTTATGAGATAATTCGCCAGTCGACCATATCTATGCGCTGACACATCTAATTGTCATCGTGTTCTGAAACCTGGAAGTACGACTGCTGAAGAGCCACTGGCTCATCAACCCGTGAAGATCCGGATATGAATTGATCCTCAGCAACCCATGATTTTCGTCAGAGGCGACTTACGTGATCGGGTGGTCAGAATTGGTTGATACATGTCATCGTATCCGATCGATGCTTATGATGTTGATCACTGGATTGTCTGGCCCGTATCGATTATTTACAGTGAGCTGCCAAATAACTGGAATATTTCTGAGTGCAACGTTAAACAACAAACAAACAAACAAACTGGGTCGTCATGGCTGGTTGCAGATTTCAGACCTGTCCATTGAATCCGTCGCTCCATTATGAATATAAAGAATATAATGTGGCCAGAAATGATTGGAATGAGGACTTACAGATTTAGTAAGATGAAGCTAAAGGTTTGTCCCGTACACACAGCTTACCCGAAGCTACAAACAGCAAACTGTTGCAGGTCACCTTTAACTATTTGTGGTCATTATAACCACACTTAAAACAGAAAACATTTTTACAGACATATTTTTTGTGCAACTTACACTGCCCATAGTAGACTGGACATCTATTCAGAAACCGAACTGACCGGATAAAGACAGCAGCCCACTCGTCCGTTGACGTCATGACAACGCTGATGCCGTATGACTGTGCTGTGACCATGAACATAAAGTATGCAGCATTGGTTGAGATTCAGTGATGGTGGTGGTGGAATTGGGTTTAACGTCGTGCTTGAGAATATTTCGCTTATATGACGACGTGCATGCGTGTGTATGTGTATGTGCGGCTACTTGTACTAGCCCAGACTTAAGCTGGTTTTATAGTGCTAGCCCACTGAGAGACCATGCCGCAGTGAAGCATGAATACCCCACTCAGACACATTATACTGACTCCGAGCCAACCAGTCCTTGTTGTACCCATTAATGCCGATCGCCAGGCAGGGACCAACCAGTACCATATTTTAACGTGTTTTGGTATGACGCGGTCGGGGGTCGAACCCGGGGACCTTCCGCACTCCGGGCGGATGCTCTAACCACTACACCACGGAGGAGGTCTGAGATTCAGTAATGAAGTAAGGCAGTGGTAGTTTTGCTGTAAAGACTGGCCTGGTCTTTCAGAGACCATCAAAATATTTCAATGTAGTCTGGTCCAGTGAGTTAGAAAATGTTCTGAGAATTTTTCAGATATTGATGCAGGATGCCCGCTCTTGGCTTTGTCATCTCACATAGCAAGAACACCAGCTGTTTTCAAGAGGATTCCCACCCTCGGATATTCTGGATGGAAGGCCACTTTTGCAGCAAGGTGGGGCGATGTCGTAGCCTATTGGTTAAGGCGTTCGCTCGTCAAGCTGAAAACCCGGGTTCCATTCCCCAAATGGGCACATTGTGTGAAACCCATTTCTGGTGTCCCTCGCCGTGATATTGCTGGAATATTGCTAACAGCGGCGTAAAACCCAACTCACTGATTCACTCACTTTGCAACAAGGTTCATATTACCAAACTATTTAAAAAAAAAATGTATTATTGTAAAATATTAATTAAATTGGAATTGTGTTTGTAATGCCTCTTACTCTGTACCGCCATGGTTATTCCGTAACAGACATTTGTATTGTTTCCCGACGCTTTTTATAAATAATACAGCATCAACAGCGCAGGGGACACCAGAAATGGGCTTCACATTGTACCCATGTGGGGAATAAAACCCGGGTCTTCGGCGTGACCAGTAGATGCTTTACCATTAGGCTAACTACCAGAAACATGAGCAAAAAAGTGGGTAATGTTCAAATATTATAAATTTGTAAAATATTTCAGTTTCTTACAAAGGAACTACCAATACAGCCGTTTCATTTGAAGGGAATTTTTTAGGTAACATGTGCAAATATATTTTTACTGCAGCTGATGTGAGAAAAAACAGGCAAAATAACAAATATGTTATTTACAGCTCGGTTACTTAAAATGTTTCGTTATATACACGTAGTTACTCGGTTTTAACTTGAAAGTCAACCATGTTCGTGTATCCACACATGAAACTGTGACATAAGCTGACACGCTGAACGTGGTACACACAACGTTAAAATGATAATGTTTATTGTTAAATAGACACAAAACTAGTTCTTACTTGAGAGTCCCAGCTGCCTTACAAGGTCCTCCACGTACACTGGACGTCGGTTGTTGGGGACCAGTGTGGTGTCCAATGACCCCGTTTGCTTAAATACGAGCCAAACGTACGGGTTGTTCCGTTCCACCGGGTTTCTGGGCCCAAAGTAAGGAAGTATAGTCTGGAACGAAGGACATGCAGTATAAAGACTCTGTTATTGAAGGTATTCTACGGGGTTTCTAGGACCAAAGTGAGTGAGTGGCTTTAGTTTACGACCCCTTTAGCAATATTCCAGCAATTGTACGACGGGGGACAACAGAAATAGCTTCACACATGTGGGGAATCGAACCAGGGTATTCGGCGTGACGATCGAGACGCTTAACCGTTAGGGTACCCAATCCCCCACTGTGACGGTTTGATCATTAAAGTCTCTGAGCATACCAAAGCTACTGACCGTAACACGTGACCTGCCTACGTCACAGTGGAATTCTCATTTTTGCACTCGACAAAAAAAATCCTCTGAGACGTATTCAGACCTAGCATACCTCTTATGTTTAAACTGCTGCTGATTGGTGATGGCATCCTCTTCAGGGATTAAGCAGCGCTGGATTCAATGCTTGATGGCTACCTTTAATACCAGTTCTATGTAGTCCTGATAACAGTTTGTCAAGTAATGTGTAAAATAAGTGCTACATATAAAACAGTGTGTTCAAGAATGAACAGTTTTCAAATTGGCGTCTGGAATGTTTCCATGTTTGGAATATACCCTGCATGCGAACGGACACTAGGTGAAATATTCATGGATGTATGAATGACTCCATCTTCTATTATGAAGAGC